AAGGGACCTTAGCAGCAGCTTTTACTCAACTCTGATGTTTAAGCTATAACTCCAGCACTGTTGTAGCCAGGATTTTTTTTGCCTTTTTTCTTGGTTCTTAAGTTAGTTAGGAACTATCCTTGGGCAGTTGCATCATTTTTTTTAGCTGAATACAAATGAAGATGATGTATTAATGCGTTGTGAGCTAGTATTCTAACACTTTTTTGTTACGTCATATGGTCTTTAAACTTACTGCTAGAAATTTATTTTTTAATACTTCAAAAAATTGTGATAATGGCATATCAGACTTCCTCTGAGATGCTGTGAAAGTTGGATTAGCTAACTATGTGATTCTGAATATTTCTGCTATGTGCATACATGTAAGAGGTAATAATAAATATCCTGTCTCACCTGAAATATATACTTTTAAATGGAAGTGTAATACACAGTCCTAAAGAAGAAACTGCTAGAACCTCTTCCACACTTTTTACGCACTTTTGTCACTCATGAACCTTCCTTTGCCGTGCAAGCAAGTCTCCAGGGCTTCACCATTCAGAGAAAAAAATATTTATAAAAGCATGCGTGTTGAAGATTGAGTTGGGAATCAGTCACCCCAAACCTATTATCTCACAAAGTGGTATTGTTAATGTGTCAGGTTTCAATCAAGAGCAGTAATAAGCTGCATGCATTAATTCTTTGTATACGTTTATGCTGATTGTGTTTGAGCATGTGGATATGAAATATTAGGCCTAGTATATGGAAATCCTTCATCCTGAGATTTATGCTTTGCCTTCCTATTTTGGTAAGAGTGTTTTGCCCTTCGGTAGCTTAACAGATTTGTTAAGAGTTTAGTTAAATCAATGAGCGTTTCCAAAGGCAGAGAAACTCTCCACTGGGGGATAAAGAATGAGAACATGGAGTGGGAAAAGCGGGAAAAAAAATGGGAAAAGGAATAGACTCTATTTTCAAAGTTAAAGTGAAATCTTTCTTTGAGGGGAGAGGGAAATGTGAGTAAGAGCTGAAGAGGTGTCCCCTGTAAGCCACTTGTCCCTTCTGCTCCTGCTTAACCACTACTGTTGTCTCAGAAACACACTTGCACTCATCTTGCATCACTGAGGTCTGAAACGTTAACTAGCTCACAACAATTATCCTTAAGAAAAGAGTGCTGATGTCTGTGGTTTTGTACTTCTTCCATTTTTTAAGATGCCATTTATCATACTACATTTCAGAGATTATATTATTACTTGGGAACTCAGTGTGTCTGGCTAGTCTTTTTAAGACACAGAAATGCAGTATGTTGTACAGAGTGTAAAAATGTATCAAGTGACTGTTCTAGTTATCTATAATAGTGCTACAATTCAACAAAAATATATATACATGTCGATTTGTATGTGTGTATGTATATGTGTATACATACACATATATAAAAAGACATAAAAAAGCTGGTATTCTCTGCACCGCAGTGGCGATAGGATATCTGCGTCATACTGTAGTCTGCTTCACAGAGCCCTGGACATGAAATTGGGAGAGTTGAGTTCTACCTGTAGCTTTGCCTCAGTTGTAGGTTTTTTTTCACAAATAAAAATTTACCAATTGCGTTTGTAAAGCACCCTGAAATAAAATGCATTATATTTTTTCCAATGGTTGTGCCCTTATTCTTCTGAAAGTCTTTTGTGCAAAGTCTTGCGAAGGCTTCAACATTTAGAATTTTAGTATTCGACAGCATGATACATTAATGGTCTGCTACTTTAAGTATTTTTATAGAAATTTTTCCCTATTAACACATATGCATTCAAAATAACCGAATACAATATACGCCATCATTTCATGATTCCTTTTTTTTATTACCATTATTTCTAAAGCGTGAAAATAAAATTAGGACCCCTGCTATAGTAGTTACTACATAAATACAGGCATAAGTGGATGTCTTTCTGCTCTGGCAAGCATAAGCTTGTGCTATATTTCGCAAAGGAGCCAGTTGATCCATTTTCCTCTCTAAAGTAGGCAAAGATATTCTTACGCTATCAGTGTATTTAGCCAAATTTGCAAGAACCTGTGTAACAACTAGTGTTTAAAATGCCTTGGAACTTGGCAGTAATAGTTCCATTGTTTTCTTCTTATTTATATTTTCTGTGTATGGTTATTTGTAAAACAGCATATATAATCACCTTCTGCTTGTTAAGCTAGGAGTAATTATTTAGTAAGACTGTCAATAAATTTGAGCCAAGAAATTGAAAGCCTTTAATTATAAGAGTGGAAATATGGTATTTCTTAAGTGTTCTGCAAATCTAATGTGTTTATATGGAATATTTCTATCCAAGGTCTTTGAAGTTGTTATACATTAATATTTGATCTCACTTTAAGTGTACGCAGCACTAAATAAATTGACTATACAGTCTAAGTCTAAGAAAATCTGCAAACAATTCTCTCCCATTTTTGGTATAAATATATTATTCTTTGCTTAAGATGCACATTATGCTGTTAAAATACATCTCCTCTAAAAAACAAAGCAAACCCAAACCTTTCAAAACAATAGAAAGTTCTGGATCAAGGTCAGTTAGATGAATATGAGGGGAAAAAGGGATGCTTTTTTATGTCTTCGGGCAAACAGCTTGAGCACAATCAAGCCTGACAAGAGTAGCATTTAAGATTAAGTGCCCAGTCCTTAATTATAGAACTTTGCACCTAAAAATGCAGCTTTTCCTTTTGTCCTACCTGTATTTGCTCTGAGCGTTTCTCTTCACCTCTTATCTGTGTGTATTCCAACATGTAGGGTAGCAATTGCTGCAATCCCTGCTTAGCCGCTGCTGCCATCTCCTAGTGGCCTGGCTGTGAGCAGGTTGTGCCCAAGGGGAGCGAGAGCCCTCGCTCCCATGTCCTGAGATGGGAAGTCCTTTACACTGAGCCCTTGAGGTGTTCATAGGCTGAAACTGAGCTGTGACAGCCTTTATAGGATATTCACATCGAAGCAGGACTAAAGCAGCAGTGTTGGTAAGCATGAAAGCTTCCTAATTGTTCAATCAATTCTGGCCGGGATGGAGAAATTATGTAAAGAATGATAATACAATGTCTGGGTGGTATAGCACTATTATAGCTGCAGACTACCTGTACTGGGGTCACTAAACCATTTGTGGAGATGTTCTCCCATGCAAGCATGGTAAAATCCTTGAGCTGAAACCAAGACTTAGCAGTAGACCTCTGTATTCTACACCCCCCCCCCCCCCATCAAAAAAAAAAACCAAAAAACAAGAGCAACAACCCCCCCCCCCCCCCCAAAAAAAAAAAAAGAAAAGAGGCAGAGTGGTAACAGAATTAGAAAATAATTCCTCAAGTTGCAAAATTTCATGAGTTTTCTTAAGCTCAGTGAGCATCATCAGGCATAATTTACTCTCTTGATGCACCAGTGCCTTCCCCCCATTCCACCCTGTATGTGTGCACATAAAAGGAAGAGGGAAGAAGTAGTAGCTGCTGATACATGACTGTGAGGTGCCTGGTAGCATGGGAAGGTTGGCTTTTTCTGGAAGAGAAAATGACAAACTGACTGCACTTTTTATGACCTTTTTACTATTCTATCATTAAGTATCCATGGCAACATGACTGTTTCTTTCATGCTGGTATGTAGCATCAAAATAACAATAAATGCTGATTTAAATTATTGTGGTTGAATAGAACTTGCTGCCAGGTGTGTTGGAAAAAAAACCTAGAGTTGGGACACAAGGAAGAAGAGTTAGAAATACATTATTCCTTTTTGGCTATGTACGTTGCCTTTTCTTTTTCTTCTTTTCTCTTCCCTCCCTCTCACTTTGTTACTGAAGAAAGTAACAAATAATTGAATTTATTAATTCTGTTTGCATGCCATGTGAATGTCATCTTAAGGGTTAATAGTAATTTCAAAAAGGTTTCCATTCATTTCAGTGAATTTCTATTTGCTCTGATGGAATCCAAAATTCTCTTCAATAAATAGTTGATGCACAACCTTAAACTATGGAAACTTTTATGCATGTGATGTATAATGTAGTTTCTGGATGCCTTTCATGTGACCAGATAAGCACACAGACGACCAAACCTCCTTCTTGTAATGATCACACTTCATTCACTTGTAGACAAGTTTGGTGGTTTTTTTTCTTTGGTTTTTGGTGTTTGGGGTTTTTTTGTTGTGGTTTTTTTTTTTTTTTTAATTGCATAGAAAGATGATTCTTGTTTAAATGTTATACTTTCATATGAGTTGCCATCAGATGAGCTTCACTTCTGGTAAGGTAGGGAATACTTGGAGTCTGAAAACATCTTTAACCAACACTGACTCATTTAAATCAAGATTAAGATCAGGTGAAATACACGGAAAACAGGAAAAACAGTCTTAATGGCTCTGAAGGTTTTATCAGTTGCTTCAGGTGATGAAGGGCTTTTAGAGGTGACATCAGTGTTTCAAAATACCATTTTGGAAGCTGTTTCTGCTCTAACCTTCAACTTGATGTGGTACTGGGGTGAATGAACACCTAACTGAAATAGTAAGTTATGAATTCTTGCTTTGGAGAAATGATACCTTTCCAGATGCAGTGGCAGGCTGCTCTGTACCCTGACACCTCCTTGAAACAATTCCTGCCTCTGTATCATCAATCTTGTCTAGATTCACTTCAAATAAAGACACTAATTGCAAAATACTGGTGGTGGTTTCATTGTAGCTTGCTTTTTTTTTTTTTTTTTCTTTCCCTTCCAGGAATTTCTCAGCTATGTTCCGCTGTAAGCTTAGAGCGAAGCGCCGGGCCCCCTGCGCTCGTCCCTCCGGCAGCTCGCCGTGCCTCGTGACATCACTCCTGGAGCTCAAATCCCCCTCGGAGCTCCCTTCCTCACTCGGTCTGTGGGGCTGTCTGCTCTGGCGGAGCTAGGACCCTCCCGCAGCAGGGCGGGCAGCTCCCCAGGCGAGGCGAAGCTCGGGAGCTGCTGGAGGCAGAGACGAAGAGGGGTAAAGAGTCGGTGTGAGGCGGATAGTGAGGAACGGAACACAGCAGAGGCGCTCCAGTATGAAATTCATCTCTGCTTATTACTTGCTGCCTCTCTTTCCTGCACTGGTCTTCAGCGCTAGGTGAGTACCGAGAGCTATTTTGCTTAGAGTTCTCCTGTTTTGTTTGCTGTTTGCTTTTTTAGATTCTGTGCTCTCAAGAGAAATAATACAGATTTCAGCTTTTACTGGGGTAGTAAGTTTAGAGCAGATACCTTCCCTGATTCTTATCTCTCCCCCTCCTCTGAAAGATACTGAGTCTTGTCTTGGTCTTTCTAGGCTTTTTTATGATGTAAAAGAGCTACTCCTGTATAAGTTGACCCACAGCTCATGTGATGTAGCGAGACAGTAGCAAATATAAGCTTTATATACACAGCAGTAATAGCACATAGACTCTGCTTTATTGGAAATAAGGAAGCCAAACAGCTGAAACTCGGAACGTGATAATGTTTTCCCTTACAGAGTGCAGAAAATAAACACTGGAACAATCTCATCTCAGTTTAGGTTTCTATATCTGGACATAGACCTCAGGCTTACCTTTTTTACTGTGAAACGCAGGTGAGATGTTGCAGTGTTACCTCAATGCCAGGATATGTGTTAAAAAGTTGCTGCAATCTAGAAGCATTCCTTTCTGTGCAAGTATAATAAATCACTGAAGAAAATATGAACAAAATCTATTGCAGCTTAAAAATAAAACCTGTTCTGACCATGCAGTGTTCTGATAAGATAATGCATACTGCTCAGTTGCTGAGAGATGGCATATTCTTCATGCTGTAGACATAACGTGTTCAGCAAAGAAAAGATAAAGCTGAGACACTCTATCCCGTTGTCTTGATGTACACAGATGGGAAGTTAATGCTGGGGACAGAGCAGATCTGTTATAATGACACTGCTCTCAGTTCAGGCTTCTTAACTTCCAGTTCTGTATCAGAAAATCAAGCCCAAATCTTGACTGTGGTGTTTCTCTGCTGTTAGAAGTTTATAGGGTACTTAGTAATAAGTCCGTAAAGCATGTTATCACAGGATATATGCATGTACATTTATCAGGGAAATGTGTTTTTTCCCTTATTCTTGGTCTCTTCCTGCAGAATCAGCATTGAAGCAGCTTTTCGCAAAGCACTGCATGTTTTAAGCCTTATTGTTCACTGAGACTTTAAAAAAAAAAAAAAGAAAAAAAAAGTGTGTTCCTGCTAAGTACTTGAAGTGAGGTACAGCAGGAGCACATCTCTCTATATACTCAAAGACAGGCAAATAATAATTGTGAAAATCTCTGAGTGGGAAAAGGCCCAAATGCAGGTAGAAATCAGGAATATCAAAATGCTTCAGTTACTCAATTACTTCACTCCTTTGGAGGGGACTGTTATTGGCGAGGGAAGGGTACTTTTTTTTTGGTTACACCTCTGATTTAGGGCCTCTACAGTGCTAGTCCATATGAACCACTCCGATGCTCTTCAAAATACAAAGCTTGGAGGAAAATTGTAATATATTGTGATTCAGTAATTGTCTCTTCTGATTTAATAAGTGGTCTAAGGAAACATTCACTAGCAGTCAAGTGTGAAACTTCTTGTCAATTCAGATTAATAATTTTTCACTCATTTAAGAGTGATACGTTCTTTGCTAAATTATGCCAGAGTTAAAAAGGGGAGGAAGCACCAAGCCAGCTTTTGCAGATGCAGGTTTGTGTCTTGCATGAACTTGTGCAGATTAAGCTGTAGTGAAGAGAGATGTGGAAAACTATTCTAAATTTTCATATTTTATTGTTTTTGTGAAGTGTCTTACAAACTACTTGAACATTTAGGGGTCTAAACTGGGACAAGGTATCTAGTGTAAAGCCCTAAAAGCAGGTGCCTCATCTTCTTGAGAAAATATTACCTGTATGAAAAAAGAACTGTAGCTCATTCTTGATAATTGTAAAAAAAAAAAAAAAAATTCCAGTCCCTCCCACCTTTCAAAAAATAGTTGGAAAGAATATGAGGAAGACGAAGTTGGCATGTGAATACTAATTATGAACAGTATGACTCTGAGGAGTGGATATACTGTCATAAGAGTATAATTTTGTGGCACATGATGATTTATATTCTTATGTAATTGAGGGATGAAAATGATCAATGCAAGAGAAATTCCAGTTAAAATTCCACCCAAGTATAGTATGTGTTGCAAAGTGAAGTTTTGCTTCTGATACCAGATTGGTCATTCTGTTGAAAGAGACTGAAACTCTACAGGAGAGCTGGAGATTTATAAAAGTCCTGGACTACTCTGTTCAGCAGTTGCTTTCAGTCGCTTGATTTTTAACTGGCTGTGTAGGGCATGGAGTAATTTTTCAATGACACGTGATGGAAGTTTAAAAAATGATACAGTGCTATCAATATGCCATCTACTGGAAAGAGATTATGCTTTAATCTCCTTCAGCAGAAGGCAATTCTGTCTGTGGCAGTTAGTATTTCTTGTAAACATATGGTTAATTCACTGGTTGGACCCAGAGCAGGCTTGCAGGAGCAGTTGCGTTTGCAAAAAGCAGGGTCTAATATCCTGCTGTATGAAATTGCTTAGCTAAGGTAGAGCATCAACCTTGCAGGACAGAAAGTTTTCCATCATGAGGATTTATTTTTCTTAAAGTTTGTACAGAAGCACAGCATCTCCATTTCATACATTGGTGCTGAATCAGTGAGCACAGCACTTGCTGCAGATGTGAACAGCTGCTGCTTTTCGTTCCTTGTCATGTGATGATGCCATCTTCTTTGCATCATGTCATGGTGATAGTTTTGGAAGACCTCAGCATGTCTCCAAGCCTAATCGTAAACAAATATGAATTGATGACTTCCAACTATGTTAACACAGCATGTCAAGTTTTCTTATTTTATAGTGTTGTTAAAAAGAGAAAAATACACAGCTATCACTTTTAAGATTGCATTCGTAATTAACTTTTGATTTTCAGGACTGTATGCAGCTAACTTCTCAGCATGGTCTAAAGCCATATGCATGAACCAAATGCCTATCAAATTACAGAAAGTTCATGTTTCTGAAGTGAACGATCTTTTCTGTATTCCCTAAACTCAGTTTTAGTGCTGCTTTGAGACACAGTGATTACTCTTAATCGTATTTCCAGTTAGTTATAGTGCAAAAGAGGTAGCAAGATTGAGGTGTATTTGCCTGTCCAGTTAACTACGTATGTTTTGACGGAATAAGTAAAAATTACTGCTTTAAAATCAGTCTTACACAAAGTTAAGGGGAACAAATTTTTGAAGGTGAATTTAACTTGGTAAAACTACTCAGAAGTTTGTGTTTTCCTGTCCACTTTTATATTTCCCTGGACATGTTGGTTTTGGCAGATCTAATGTGATAGTTGTATACGTGTTACTTTTTTCATGCTATGCTGAAGACAACGTAGTTTTTTCATATGATTGCAGAAATTATTCCCACTGTACTGAGTGCTCAGTCAATGCCCAGTGTATAATGGGCTCAGGGTCTAGTTCTGCAGCCACCTGTATGCTTTTGTGGTCCCAGACACCTAAACATTCTGACTGGAAAACTATTTGTAGAAGGGAATGCTTGCACGAAGTCAGCCATTGGTGTCAGTAACTAAGACTGCAGTCCAGATTACCTTGTCTAATGACACTTGCCTGCTTTTAGCTAAAAGGAGAGTTTTCTGAATATTACTTCAACATTACTGTTGAACAGCTGGATACTTTAATCTCTGTTCACTCACAATAATTTTTTGTCCAAATGACAAAAATTTGACTCTTTAGAAGAAGCTTGACGTGAAACAAAGCTTTCCTTTTTTTATATGACAGTAAATTCCTTTCTGTCCACGCATGAAATGTGACAAAGATGCAAGACACTGAATAATTTGATTGAAGTAGAATGCTTTATAGCTGAGAACAGGACCATAAAGGCAACAAGATGTGCTTTAATAACAATATTACAACTACAGCAACTCATTAAATGGATGTACAAACAACAGGGATGTAAAAGACAGCTTATATTATTTTAATGGCAGAGAAATGGCTAGTGGTTGCTTTTTTCTCAAGTGCAGTTTACTGGCAAGCTTACTACTCTGATGTTACAAAGAGATCTAATTCATTTGCTTCAGAAGAATGCCACCTCTGTGTTTTATAGCAAGACAAAAGTAGCGTGCTCATTTCTGGTAGGTGCATGTTGCTGAATGAAGGTATGGGTTTTGATCTGGTGTACGTCTATTGTTGGAAGAGGTAGAAATATAATGAATTCTCTTACCTTATTTAACATGAGAACATGACTTAAATGCTTGCTTTTTCCCTGGATGTATTTTCAAGGTTGACTATTTTCTTCACCTTTGTTGGGTTTGGTAATTATTTCTTAAGAAATATGAAAATACTAATATCTTTCTGTCCTCTCAGATAAAGGTGTGTCAAGGACTCAGTCTGAGACTTGAGGAAAGATAAAGGGGAGCATCTTTGACATTATTACCCTCGTGGGGGGGAAATGTTGAAAATACTTGTTTCTAGTTCTTAAGCTCTTTTCCGTCTTAGAAACGCTGTTTGGGCTATAATGATGTTGGAAGTAACTGTTTTTCATTTAGACTGATATGACAGTGGAGGGAACCCTGCCTCTTTCTGGATTTCAAGGCGGAAGAACGAGGCTCACTGTTCTTCTACCCTCGGCTGTAGCCACACCATTGCTACGTTCCCCAGCAGGCAGCCAAAAGTGATTCTCACTTTTGCTCTCTCAGGCTGAGGTCCAGCAGTGCCCTTCCTTTTCCCCATGATTGAAGGTGAACTCTGTGGTGCAGTAGTAGACTTCAGCAGAAAAGAGGATGGATTTTTGCTGTAGGTTTGCTGGATAACAGACTGTCTTAATATTGTGCTTTCTGAATTCTTCCAGAAATGCAGGGGCATTAACTATCATTTGTCTCCTGCTTAGAATTCCTTTCACACTTACTTTTGCTGTCTGATTTTTCTGGGCCATGAAAGCTTTCTGATTTCTATCAATGTGGATGGTGATGCATGTTTGGTTAATGGCTTGTAAGGACTTATGTTTGAGGCACAGAAATGGCATTTAGCATATGGCTTGTGACCTTATTATACCTGAAGAAACATGCACTTTGT